ATTAGAGTCCGCTCTCCTAACCACTACACCAAACAAATAGACTGCCTCCTTCCTCACACCTCCAGGGAAGAAGGAAATCCTGAAGGGAAAAGAAAACCAGGGCTCTAGTCGGGGGGGAGCTCTCAGGTACGGAGCTCCGGAAGAGAACCTCTAGGGGGCGGGGCGGTCACGTGGTGAAGCCCCGCCCCCTTCTTTACCCCGCCCTCTGCTTCGATCCTCATTCCGTTTGGGAATGAGGATAAAGCAGGAGGGTAAGTAGCCGGGCCTTCTGACACACTTCCGGTGATGTCAGGGGGTGTGGCCTTCTGTCACTTCCGGTGATGTCAGGGGGTGTGGCATATGCAAATAAGTTATGCTAATGGGTTATGCTAATGAGCTCCGGCAGCTCTTTTTCTACAACAAGACCCCTGAAGAAAACACACTGGCTGAGGAAAGCCCAGGTGCTTACCAGTCCTCCAGTGGAAAGGAAAGCCCTTTCATTTGAAAGAGGGCATTGTAAGTCCCTGACTTACAGTGGCCCTCCCCACTTTCTGAAAAGGTGGACAAGTGCCAAGAGAAGTACCAATGGTCACCGTGGTGCCCCTGGGCGCCATGTTGGGGAACCCTGGTCAAGACTTTCCAGAAGCAAGACTGGTAATCACTAAGCAAAAGTTCCAGGGCTCTTTTTGTAGAAAAAGCCCAGCAGGAACTCATTAGCATAATAGGCCACACCCAACATCAGGAACTCATTAGCATATTGGGCCACACCCCTGACACCACAGCTCATTAGCATATTAGGCCGCTTCCCCCATGTTACCAGAAGTGTGCTCATCCAGCCACACCCACCTTTTGCTTGTTATTCTGTTTACCTTGTTTGTTGCCAAAACCCAGGGCCTTTTTTTGTAGCAGGAACTCCTTTGCATGTTAGGCCACACACCCCTTATGTAGCCAATCCTAATGAGCTTCTGCTGTTGGGTGTGGCCTATTATGCTAATGAGTTCCTGCTGGGCGTGGCCAACTTGGGAGCCAGCCGGAACTCCGTTCCTGTGCGTTCCTGCCCAAAAAGAGCCCTGAAAAACCAAGTTTGTGCAAAGCTGTGTTGGTCTGCAAGGGGAAAAATACTCTGAATCTCAAAACCAGTAAACATCTGTGGGACTTGGTAGATGACAGCCATAAATAGTCATAGTTTTTGCTACTGTGATAAATGCCATAAACCTTGTTTCCCTTTTTATAACACTTGACCTCAGCAGTGCAATTATCTCCTCCATTTTTTAATATTCTACATAAACAGGACGGCTTTAATTTTTACTGTTTGACAGGAGATCATTAATTCCGCTGTGAAAGTGTAGAATTTAACTGGTTTATATTAAATGGGGACCTTGTTCTAAGCCAGGTTGTCTTTTAAAGCGGCACTTTGAAATGCAACCGTTTTTTAAAAAAATCAGGTTTCAGTAAAAATAAAACCCTTATTTTTTGTCGTTTATTTTAGAATCCTGGGATATTTTCTTTCTAAACTAAACACTCTGGACACTGTGACAGGCCCTTCTTGAAACTGAGGGGACTCAAAGTGCTTGTCTGGTAGATTTGGGGGACCGTGTCAATTTTGAGATAATAACTTTCCCCTCAGCTACAAGAGTGGAGCTGCGGTGGTTCATGTGGTTAAGACGCTGAACTGCAGGCTGTGGAAGGTCAGTAGTTCAGTAGTTCGAGACCTGGGTGCTGCAAGACGGAGTGAGCTCCCGTCTCTAGTTCCAGCTCCTGCCAACCTAGCAGTTCAAAAGCAAGAAATTGCAAGTAGATAAATAGGTACCACTGTGGTGGGAAGGTAGCAGCATTCTGTGTGCCTTGGTGTTTAGTCATGCCGGCCACATGACCACGGAAACGCCTTCGGACAGCGCTGGCTCTTTGGCTTGGAAACGGAGTTGAGCACCGCAACCCTAGAGTCGGATTCGGCTGGCTTTCGAGCAAGGGAACCTTTACCTTTACCTTTTACAGCTACAAGATGTTCTTAGGGAAGCAAGTGTAAATGCCTTTGAGTCGCGGCTGCGTATTGATCCTGAAGAGTACAGCGATCACTGAAGCAGGAGGTTTAATTAAAACAACAACACCAAAAATGATGTATTTATAGACAGTGTTATGTGGTGAATTCTCTCTAAAGCTGGTAGTTGCCGGGTCTGCTCGTCTCCAGAGACAGGCCTCACAACTTTATCCTCTCCCAGAGGTGGAGTTAAACCACTCTGCCACACTGCGCACAAAATGTCTCCCTCCGGCACTCCTCAGCCTCTCTCTGGAAGGAGGCTGGATGGTGGAGCTGCAATCCCACAGGCTCAGGGGGGACACAACCGGTGTCAGAACTTCTCAGGGGAAGGATAGCTTTCCTGTCCTTCACGGTCAACCATTTAAATCCCCGAAGGAGAGAAAGCCACTGGGGAGGGGTGAAGCGGGGAAATGCTTGGCTGCTTTCCTACTGTCAGTTGTACCCACCACAAGCGGCTTTGATTTAAACTTTCTCAGGGATGTTTTAGGCCGATCCTGCATTGAGCCAGGGTTGGACTAGACGGCCTGTGTGGCCCCTTCCAACTCTATGGTTCCGTGATTCTGCGAAATGGAGCCAAGAGGCTGTCTTGTACATTTTTTATCCTGCCCAGCCTCCAAGGCACTCTGGCTGAGGTACAGGCCCCTCCTTTCTGTTTTATCCTCACACCGACCCTGTGAGGGAGGCGAGGCTGAGAGGGCGTGACTGGCAAAGATTCCAACCTGGGTCTCCCAGATCCTAGTCTGCCACTCTAACCACTACACCACACTGTGTTTCAGTGACAGTAATTCACAGCTGATATATTTGTGTTCAGATTCTGCCCCCCTGTCTTGCACATGCAAAGCGTCGCAGGGCAACACGGGGGACTTGAACCCAGGTCTCGACACTCCTAGTCGGATGTGCTAACCGCTCCACCATACCTCTTTATTTACATCAATTGTACCCCCACCTTTCTCCCCAGTGGGAACCCAAGGTGGCTTCCATAATTCTCCTCTCCTCCATTTCATCCTAACAATAATCCTCTGCAGTAGGCTAGGCTGACAGTGTGTGACTGGCCCAAGGTCACCCAGCAAGCCTCCGTGGTATTGTGGGGATTTGAACCTGGTTCTCCCAGACCCAATTCTGAGACTCTAACTCAGGGCTATTTTTGGGCAGGAACGCACAGGAACGGAGTTCCGGCTGGCTTCCGAGCTGGCCACGCCCACTACAGCCAAAACCTCTGCGTGCCTGGCTACAGAGGGAAGGCCTGGAGAGTGACCCCCCCTAGGGTTGCCAACCCCCCCGGTTTGCCAGGGGTCCCCCGTTTTGGGGGGGTTCTACCCACTGCTGGCCAAATGGCCGGCGGGGAAGCCCCACCCCCAACACCCACAGCCACCCATCTCTCTCCCTTTAAGGGTGTGCGACCCGTGTTTCATCCCAAGCGCGAACTCCGCAAGCTTGCAGGGAAAAGCCAGCTTCGTTCTTAAAAGGGAAACGCAGCTTCTCTTAAAGGGGAAACGCCGGCTGCCGGCTACTTTAAGTGCAGGGAACTGCTGTTTCTGGAGATCCGGCGCACGGCCGGGGGCTAATGAGTTTCTACCGTTGGGTGTGGCCTATTATGCTATTTAGTTCCTGCTGGGCGTGGCCAGCCAGCCGGAACTCCGTTCCTGTGCGTTCCTGCCCAAAAAGAGCCCTGAGAGACGCCAATGTTGGATCAGGCCAAAGGCCCATCCAGTCCAACACTCTGTATCACACAGTGGCCAGAAATACCAGGTGCCATCAGGAGGTCCACCAAATGATTTTCTGCTGTTGGGTGTGGCCTATTATGCTAATGAGTTCCAGCTGGGCTTTTTCTACAAAAAAAGCTCTGCTCTGCTATACCACACTGACCGACATTCCTCACATTCCCAGCCTCTCCATCCTGTGAACAGTTTTACTATTATCCCATCTCTGCAGAACTTTAAAAAAATCTAGTCAGCCCCAAAATGTTTTTTAGCTTTTCCCCCTAAGGGAAGATGCTCCAAGTTCTAGGGTTGCCATCTCCAAGCTGGGAAATTTCTGGAGACTTGGGGATAGAGTCTAGGGAGGGGGGGAGTATAATGCCATAAAGTCCACCCTCCAAAGCAGCCATTTCCTCCAGGGGAACTGATCTCTTGACTGGAGATCAGTTGTAATGCCAGGAAGAAGAAGAAGAAGAAATTGGATTTATACCCCACCCTTTACTCGGAGTCTCAGAGTGGCTTACAATTTTCTTCCCTTCTTCTCCCCACAACGGACACCCTGTGAGGTAGGTGGGGCTGAGAGAGCTCTTTTGAGGACTGCTCTTGAGAGAACAGCTCTGAGAGAACTGTGACAGACCCAAGGTCACCCTGCTGGCTGCATGTAGAGGAGTGGGGGGGAGAACTCCGGACCCCACCTGGATGTTGGCAACCCTAGCAACAATCCCACAAACCACCTTTAGCTGCCTGTCTGTTGTAGACTTTCCCAGAGAGGGGTGCCCAGAAGTAAGAGGGTGGCGATCCAGGGCTCTTTTTGTAGCAGGAACTCCTTTGCATATTAGGCGACACACCCCTAATGTAGCCAATCCTCCAAGAGCTTACAGTAACTCCTGTAAGAAGAGCTCTGTAAACTCTTGGAGGATTGGCTACATTAGGGGGTGTGGCCTAATATGCAAATGAGTTCCTGCTACAAAAAGAGCCCTTTACGTGTAAAATGGGCCCAAACGCATAACCATTCTGTTTGTTTTTAAATTTTGAATACAGAGAGATGTCAGAGCATTCCCCCACCCCACCCCGGGCAGCGGGTGAACTGTCCACCCAACACAGAGCTTCTTTTCTTTCCCCGGCAGTCATTCCAGCGGCTTCAACACTGCATAACACCAGCAAGCCGACGCGCACCCAGGGATGTCTGAATGACAGGGTGCTCCCGGGCAGACAAGGCCTCCTATCCTTATACAGTCTGTTCTAATGAGTCCCCTTCTCTCTCTCTCTCTCTCTCCCCTTTGCAGCTGAGCTCTAATGAGTCACCGTCCCCCAACGAGATTCCTGGCCGGGAGGAAAAAGGTGAGTGGCGGCGGCTGGTACACTGTAGCTGCCAATCTGACTGGTGCCAGCCCCATGACAATTAACCCTCTCCCATACATATGTATGTACTGCTGTCACACACACCCTGGTTCTTCGGCGGAGGGCCCGGATTTCACTTCCTGTGGTTGATTAAGGTGTGTGCCGTATTTTTGCTTTTCTAAAAAGAAGAAGAGATTGGATTTATACCCCGCCCTTCACTACCCAAGGAAGTCTCAGAGCGGCTTACAAACTCCTTTCCCTTCCCCTCCCCACAACAGACACCCTGGGAGGTAGGTGGGGGGCTGAGAGAGCTCTGACAGAAACGGCTCTTTTTCAGGAACAGCTGTGCCAGAACTATGGCCAGCAGGTGCAAGTGGAGGCGTGGGGAATCAAACCCGGTTCTCCCAGATTAGAGCCCGCGCACTTAACCACGACACCAAACTGGCTAAATCAACATATGAGCAGGACTCAAAGGCCTAGCAGTTCCACAGTTCCGCCGACGCTTCAAAACTGAATTAATTAAGAAGGCTTTGTGGGCGATAGGCTTGCGCTCTGCTAATTGATTTCCCAGGGTTACTTGGACAAATGGTCAGGGACTGTGGTCTATACTAGTGTGTTTAGCTGGCTGAAACTAGGATCCTACTGTGGGATTTTTGCATCATTTAACGTGTCCACTTGAGACTTATAACTTTGCATCGGTTCTGGTTTTAGACTTCTGGTTGGCTTTGCAGCCCTAATCCTATTGCATTGTTTATGGGATGTCCCATTCCATTGATTGCATTGACTCGCTCTGCGGACTATAAATAATGTAGAACAAAGTTTGAGTCTAGTGGCACCTTGAAGACCAAGTTTAATTCTCCGTTGGTCTTAAAGGAGCCATTGGACTCATACTTGGTTCTGTTGCTCCAGACTAATGTGGCTAGCCACCTGAGACGGCCAGTTTGGTGTAGTGGTTAAGAGTGGTGGACTCTAATCTGGAGAACCGGGTTTGATTCCCCCACTCCTCCACATGCAGCCAGCGGGGTGACTTTGGGTCAGTCACAAGTTCTCTCAGAGCTGTTCTCTCAGAGCTGTTCTCTCAAGAGCAGTTCTTTCAGAGCTCTCTCAGCCCCACCTACCTCACATGGTGTCTGTTGTGGGGAAAGGAGATTGTAAGGCACTCTGAGACTCCTAGTGAAGGGGCGGGGTATAAATCTTCCTCCTCGTCCTCCTCCTCTTCCATAAATGATATAATTAAAAAAATAACTGGACAGGGAGACTGGATGATACGTGATCATATTTCCAGCATGTTTCTCATTTCTAAATAGCCACCACAGGAGGAAGCCCTGACTCAGGAGAGGCGGCAGAGTTTCTGTTTTGCTTGGTCTTCATAGAAGGCAGGCCACGGTTTTTGTTTCAGATTGAGACTGGTGGCACAGGGCAAGTCCACTCCTGGGCCATTTTCCTGACCTCAGCCACACTCAAAAGTTATCTGCCCCATGGGGTGGGTTGGTAGACAGGGCTTTTTTTGTAGAAAAAGTCCAGCAGGAACTCATTAGCATAATAGACCACACCCAACAGCAGAAACTCATAAGCATATTAGGCCATACCCCCTGACAGTGCAGCTCATTAGCATATTAGGCTACACCCCCATGCCTTCCCCTGGCTTGCCCGGGTGCCCCGCGATTGCAGGGAGCCTGGGCAAGACCCCCCCCCTTGAAGAGAAGGGAAAGCAGTTTAAACTGCCTTCCCTTGGCTTTCCTGGGAGCCCTGTGGTGTGGGGAGCCTGGGCAAGCCGGCCCTTCGAGGGGAGGAGAGGCAGTTTGAACTGCCTTCCCTTGGCTTGCCCGGCGACCCCGCGGGTGTGGGGAGCCCGTGCAAGCTGGCCCTTGGACAGGCCAGGGAAAGCCCAATCCTTCCAGGCCCCCCCCGGCCCACCTGCCTCGGAGTTGCCGGGGGGTGTCGCTCTCCAGGCCTTCCCTCTGTAGCCACGTATGCGCAGAGGTTTTGGCTGTAGTGGGCGTGGCCAACTCTGAAGCCAGCCGGAACTCCATTCCTGTGTGTTCCTGCCCAAAAATAGCCCTGAGGTAGAAGAACATTAGGAGCATGGCACAAGAGAACAAAGCGAGATCCCCTTCGTTTCTGATGCCCATCCAGACCTTCCCACAGCTGTTTCCAAAGGCGAAACACTGGGGCCGATTTCCCACAAGTGCTGCTCCGCGCTCGCTCTTCCCTTTTGCCCCGATGGTACGTGTCAATTTCACCCAAGCTGCTGCGTGGCCTTTGCCCCGCAGCTTCGCGTGATTTCCCCCGTGTCTACTCAATCCTGTTTTTTGAGGATTGAGTAGACGTGGAGGAAATTGCGCAAAGCTGTGGGGCAAAATGCGGCTGTGCAGCAGCTTGTGTGAAATTGACACGTACCATCGGGGCAAAAGGGAAGAGCGAGCGCGGAGCAGCGCTTGTGGGAAATCAGCCTGGTAGTTTGGTCCTGCTTTTTCCATAGGATTGCCAGCTTCCATTTGGTGGCCAAAGTTCTCCCAGAACGACCACAAATCTCTGGTGGTGGAAAGCGCCGCTAAGTTGAAGCTAATTTACGGTGACCCCATAAATACTAAATAATTTGACGTTGTGTCCGGATGTTTGATAACGTTTCAAAGTTTATTCTTCATCAGGGTATTCTATAAGAAATGCTGTTACCAAACAACGTCGAATTATTTAGTAGTTCTCCGTTGTTTAGACATTGTAGCACATACCAGTTCTCTATTGTTTACATTTTGTACTTTTTCACTGTAGCTACTTTGTATGCATTATTCCCTATTACATTGCTTTTTGGCAAGTTGTAATTGGTGAGTCTGTTAACTACACTTGCTTTTGCTTTCTAGTAAAGGTAAAGGTTCCCTTGCTCGAAAGCCAGTCGAATCCGACTCTAGGGTTGCGGTGCTCATCTCCGTTTCCAAGCCGAAGAGCCAGCGCTGTCCGAAGACGTTTCCGTGGTCATGTGGCCGGCATGACTAAACACCAAGGCACACGGAACGCTGTTACCTTCCCAATGAAGCAGTACCTATTTATCTACTTGCAATTTCTTGCTTTCGAACTGCTAGGTTGGCAGGAGCTGGAACTAGAGATGGGAGCTCACTCCGTCATGCGGCACACCCGGGTCTCGAACTGCTGAACTACTGACCTTCCACAGCCTGCAGTTCAGCGTCTTAACCACTTGAGCCACCGCAGCTCCTTTTTGCTTTATATTACCATTTTATTATACAATAGTGTAGTGAACATCATTGAATGCTATCACTAAAGTTGCCAACCTTCAGGTAATAGCTGGAGATCTCCCACTACTACAACTGATTCCCAGGGCTGCAGTCACACACACTAAATAATCCACTTTCAGCACACTTTCCAAATGGATTGTACTGTTTTCCTTATTGCTTTGGGTTCCTCCCCCCCTTTCCCACATGTGTTTTGCTCCCTCTGGGACTCCTAGAGAGAGCAAAACACATGGGGGGGGGGTTTAAAAAAACCCTGAAGCAATAGGGACAAATGAGTGACGAAAATGATAGCATGGAAGTGGCCTGTGTGAACTGGCAAAATCCAGTTGGAAAGGGCATTGAAAGTGGATTATTTAGTGTGTGTGACCGCAGCCCAGGCGACAGAGATCACTTCACCTGGGGAAAATGGCTGCCTTGGAAGGTGGACCCTATGGCAGTATACCACGTGGAAGTCCCTCCCCTCCCCAAACCCCGCCCTCTTCAGGCTCCACCCCCCAAATCTCCAGGTATCTCCTAACCTGGAGCCGGCAGCCCTATCTACCACTGAGCGACAGGCCTTCCCCAGAGTTGGGAAACCCACTGGCATCTTGCCCAGTCAGGCCCCAAACAGAGACAAAAATGGCACTGCTATGGGGGCAAGCGGGACAGAGCCCCCCACCCACACCCAAGTTTTAGCTAACTCCAGTTACAAGCGCGCTCTCTCTCTCTCTCTCTCCCCCTCATCCAAACTGCAAAACTCAAACCTTTCTGTCACGCACTTTGTTGGGCTGCTCAGGGCTCACCCACCACAGTGCCAAGAAGGTCTCTCACTCAAATGAAAACAGAAATATCCCCCACTGCTAACCGTTTGCTCTAGGGTTGCCAAGTCAGAAACTTACCGCAGCGGGGGACTCCCGGCCGGTGTCTGGAGTGCGCATACGCCGCATCCACATCACCCGGAAGTGATGCTGGTACGCCGGGCACGCTGGGGGCGGCGCCAGGACCATCCGAGGGAAAACCATGGAGTTTTCCCTCGGATGACCGTGGCCCCGCCCCCAGCGTGCCCAGCGTCCCTGCGTCACTTCCGGGTGACGTGCACGTGGGGGTGGAGTTCCCCCCGAGGCCCGATCCGCCGGGGGGACTTGGCAAGCCTAGTTTGCTCCCATCGATGAAGCGTCACCTAACCAGCCCCAGCTCTTTAGCATCAATAAAAGGAACAGGGCAGGCAGCAGCTGTGACAATATCGTCGATCAGCTTGACAAATTCACCATACACTGTCCCTGGCACGCCGGGGATCTCCCAGCCGGGAGGCAGCTCCTTTGCCGTGCTTTGGGGCAGGATCAGCCGTCCTGCATCTTTGCGTGCCTCCCGTGTCCCTGGGTTTATAATTCAGAAACCACGTGGCTCTGAGCTGGCACTTTAGCTCAGGCCTCCCCAAATCCAGTGCCTTGGCCTGCGCCCGTGGCTCCTCACTGTCTTTCAAATGAGGGCGTGGACCACCTCTCTCTCTCACAGCTGCTGGGAGTTTGAGAGTGGTTAGGGTTTCCAGGTCCTCCCTGGCCACCAACGGGGTGGTGGTGGTGGGGTTAGTTTTGCCAGATCCAAATTGGGGAACTAGTGGAGACTTGGGGGTGCAGCCTGGGGAGGACAGGGACCTCAGCGGGGGGCAATGCCACAGAGTCCACCCTCAAAAGCATCCATTTTCTCCAGGGGAACTGATCTCTGTAGCCTGGAAGTGAACTGTAATTACAGGGGATCCTTAGGGCCTACCAGCATCTCAGGAGCAATGCTCCCTCTAAGCTGTGGAGTCTCATGAGCAAAAATCCTGCTTTGTGAGCTGCTGGCATTAAAGTTGTGAGCGAGCGATTGGGCTGCTGCAGAAATTAGTTTGCTCTGGAGCCCTCCTTCCTGAGCTAAGGCGAAAATGTGTGAGCTGGAGGCTAAAAAACTGTGAGCTAGCTCACACTCACTCAGCTTAGAGGGAACACTGCTCAGGAGTCCTTAAGAGGAGCTGAGTCATTGGGCGATTCTGCATCTAGCATTCGCTCCACATTTTCTCAGCTGGGAGGGGAAAGTGCAGCTCAAAACCACATTCAAATACCTCGGGGCAAGGGCTCTTTTTGTAGCAGGAGCTCCTTTGCATATTAGGCGACACACTCCTGATGTAGCCAATCCTCCAAGAGCTTACAGTAGCCCCTGTAAGAGGAGTTCTGTAAGCTCTTGGAGGATTCGCTACATTAGGGGGTATGTCGCCTAATATGCAAAGGAGCTCCTGCTCTGAATGGCCATAAATCTATGCAGAAGGTACCATAAAACCCGATGATCAAAGAAAGCGAAAGGGGCATGGAGTGCGGAGGGTACCGTCAAATTCGATGATCCAAGGAAGTGAAAGCGGCATGCAATGAAGAGGGAAGTTTCTGTTCCAAGGTGAGTTCCATAAAACAACAGAGGGAAAAGCCAAAGCAGAATCAGCCACTATGGACTGAAATGCAAATCGACAAGGGCCAGCCTTGGGCACTTAACGCCACATGAGCAAATATCTGTAACAAGGGTGCTGCTGACGGAAAGGTCAGGGAGTCTCTGGCATCGTGGAGAACTGGGAGGGGGGAACTAGGGGAGCTGGGAGAGTGGGCATTTGCCAAGATATCCCCTTCAAAGTGCATGCCAGTTTATTCCTCAGGGTTTTCCTGGCCGATGCTCAGTGAAAAAGAGGACTGTAATGCGCCTTCTGTACCCCTTTCTTACTCGAGCCAGTTTGGTGTAGTGGTCAGGAGGGAGAACTCTAATCTGGGAGAACCGGGCTTGATTCTCCACTCCTCCACATGCAGCTGCTGGCTTGACCTTGGGTCAGTGACAGTTCTCTCAGAGCTGTTCTGGGAAGAGGAGTCCTTGTCAGGTTCCACAGCCAACAACTGGGTACACGCTTTCTGGAAAGGTTATACTTTATTGAAGAGCTATAGATGCATTAACGAAGGCACTGTTAAGAATGGTGTCGCTTCTACAAGCATAATGGGATATAGGGTATTCATATGCACACACACACCACAGTAAAGCCTGGTGGGACTGGGTGGACCAAGGCAGTTCAGGTAGGTGGAGCCAGGAGAGAGGGTGGAATGGGCGGGGCTGAATAGAGCCTGGTGGGACTGGGTGGACCAAGGCAGTTCAGGTAGGTGGAGCCAGGAGAGAGGGTGGAATGGGCGGGACTTAGTAGAACCTGGTGGGACTGGGTGAACAATGGCAGTTTACATAACCAGAGCCAGAGTAGAAGGTGGAATGGGTGGGGCTTATTAGAACCTGGTTTGACTGGGGTGCAGCATGACAGCTACTGTGGGTGGAGCCACAGTAGAAGATGGAATGGGCGGAGCTTAGTAGAACCTGGTATGACGGGGTGGGGCTTAGTAGAATTTAGCAAGACAGTGGCTGATATGGCAGCTTATGTGGGCAGAGCCTGCCAGTGGGTTATAGAAAAAAGGCAGGATCTTCAGTTTACCCTCTCTTTACAGTGCAGTCCATAGGATACTTTCCTGGGAGCGAGCCCCATTGAAGACACTGGAGTAGGACTTCTTGTAGACTGGCTTATGTTTGTGCTGTCCATTCTCGGGGCAATGGTTTGCCGGGTGGGTCAGTAAAATACCAAATTATCATCCACCGTTACCAGAGCAAATGACTGTAGCTTTCACTAGATTCCACAACAGTCTTTTCCCGTTAGCCTCCATGGTGGTGGTGGGGCACACATGAACACCACGGGCCACGCACCGCATCCACTGCTGACAGCCAGGCTGTGTCCATTGCCTGCCAAACCAAAGGGCGTTCAGACTTGTCACTGATGCAGAGAGGAGGTTGTGATTTGCACCTATTTAAATCCCCTGCTCGTTTCCCTGTATCAGTGCCCCCGGCGCTGACAATGGGGAGGCGCGCGTACGCGGGTGCCACGTTGTTGCCTTTCCTGCTGTGTTTAACGACTACACCAGCTGCTTCTCCCCACAGACAAAGCTGGGAGTACCAAGAAGGTGGAAGCTGAAGAGGAGGAAATAGACATTGATCTGAACGCGCCTGAAACCGAGAAAGCCGCCTTGGCCATCCAGGGCAAATTCCGACGCTTCCAGAAACGGAAAAAGGACCCCAGCCCCTGAGCAGCCACAGCGCCGACCTCACCTCTCCACCGCTCTCCCCATTAACCTCGGGCCCCGCCTCCCGACCCTCTCCTCCCTCTGCGCAGCCTGCCTCGCCCCGTTTCCTCTTATCCTACCCATGTCAGGTGGGGCTAGTGAAATTTTGCACGTTCTGTAATATAATCAAGCAGGGGTGGGGTGGGTTTTCAGGGTATGAGAGGGGTCAGACTCTCTCCAAAGCTGGGGTGGGGATACCGGGGGGGGGGTTCCCCAAATGTCACGCACCCCCTACCTGCTCCCATGAGAGTGCTCCCTCTTTCTAATAGCCATGATAAAGCAGCACAGCAATGTTATTGACTGAAAGCCATTGGGAAGCACTTGATGTAAGGGGGGGACTAAGCCTTTGGGCAGAGTTGGGGAGATACCCGGGGTGGGGCTTGGCCGTGGTTGAATTTGTGAATTTTAATTCAGTGAAACCTTTGCACTTTGTAAGTTGCCCGGCACCCGACCGAGGCTTTACATTGGTGGTCTGACATTTTGAGTGTACCCCCCCCCCAGCTGAAAGTAGAAGCTTTGCTACTCCTTATATCAGCTGAAGTGCCAGAGAACAAAAGCTGGGAGGGGGGGAAAGGCATCTGGGAAAAGGAGATTCCCATTAGAGACAGCCAGCTGGATGCCACGCTGTGAAAATTCACGGGAGGGCGGGGCTTACTTTTGCACTTTCAAAATGCCCTTAAGAATCAGCTCTCAGACCGAAAGTTGTCGATTCCGAGCTGGCCAAATCGCTCAGGCGACAAATCTGTTCCGCTTCCGTCCTGTTTGCCTTTAATACTTCTTTGCTTTACTGACGGTAAACGTGACAAAGAGACCTGTGTGGCCCTTGAAACATTAACACGTCGATAGTGGAACGAGCCTATATAGGATGGAAGTGGTAAGCAGTTCCGATTCCCCTCTTCAGCTTTTCCACACCTCTCTCTATGTCGATCAAGATTTATCCACCTGAACTAACCAGGACCCTGATTTCACACTTGCAGTCGTTATCCCATATTTCAAAATGCCATTTGATAACACCCCACCCTCTCTAGCCATAAGCATGCATTCCGAGAAAGGTGGAGAATTAACTCTTTTCCGATCTCCAGTATGAATGTTAAAGGGTGACTAATTTGCACTAAATTTACATGCACCAACTCCAGATGAACATGCCCTAAGAATAATCTCACTCATAAAGCTCATTGAGAGATGTCCCATTCCCTCTATGAGCTTTTTTTTTTTTTTTTTTTGCAGGAGCGGGATTAAGATAAGCTTTGCCAGAGGTCAGCTTCAACAAAGCTAGTGCCTCCCAGAGAAGCATCCTCCTGCAAAATGTTTGTCAGATCAATTTCATCTTGTTTAGTACTACAGGTTGGGGGGGGGGGGGAAAGAAACCTTAATTCCAATTTGCAGCTGATCTCTTGCAATGTATATCTTAATTTCCTGATTAAGCTTTACTGAGCTTGGAAATCAGCTCCTGCAGAGCTGATACATGTATTTTGTGAAAACTTGTTGTTGACACTGGTTTGAAAAACCCACTGATTCTTGAAACCATCCACCAGAACAGCAGCTAATTCTGAGTCAGTTGTTAAGATCTAAAAGTAGCAGGAAGGGAGGTGTAACCTCCGGAGCTTACTTTCCCAGACAGCTGATGTCTGAACTAAACAACCTCGATCCTAAGAATTGGTCCAGTCCTCTACGGGAAAACGAAAGGCAGATCCTTTGGGTAGTGCAAAACGTCTCACTGCACCCAATCTCATGTACCAGTTTATAAACTCTGAGTTCACCATTCCCTGGCTTCAGGGCCCTGTATCGTCCACCCTACCACTAAGAAAGGGCTGCCCTTCCTGAAGTCCACGCGCCTACCTGCTCCAGACCCATCCTCGCAAATCAAAACGGCACCAAGTCCACGTGCTCCAAGCACCGGCAGGCTACATCACTCTTCAGTTACCTCGAAGATCACAAGACCATCGGCGACTGGAAGCAGGGGAGGGGAAGGCGATGGGGTGGCATGGGGGCGGGAATGGATTTGCCATGGGGGCATGGACTTAGCTGCTTTGAGGACTGACTCTTTTAGCATGTGAATAAAATAAATCAGGGGGAAATGTCCAAACCTAGGGTGGTTGTTTTTTTCTCTCCCCTTTTATGGCCATTTCAAGAACGGTGTTCAACGGTGCACATATAACAGACAGCATCTTTCGTCCTCCCTTTATAGGGCGTATGGGAATGGGAAATGGGCCGGTGTGTATACAGTTTGGGATCCAAGAAGGACTTACACACAAAGGATTCCCAAAAATGCATAAACTGGTCAGAAGTGGTTCCTCACAGAACTGGGATGGCAGATGAGGTCAGCCGGGGTCAACAGCTGCTATGCAGAACAATGAACAAAGCTGCCCTGGAAGCTTTTTGTAGAGGCCGGGCTGTATCATATGACCTGCTCCAGCCTGGTCCCCCCCCCCTCTTATGGGCATAGAGCAGGGGTCATGGGATGTGTGTAGAGGGGGTGAATTCCCTGCATTGTGTGTGTGTGAGAGAGAGAATTTAACAGAACTAGATGACCCTGGAGGTCCCTTCCAACTCTATGATTCTATTCTATGGTTCTAAGCCATTTTCTATGGCCCTGGTTTATGCATTGACCAAGTTTCTGCTTTTGAGGAGCCTAAGACTCTGGAGTGTTTGAGGTCCACTTCCACGAACACACACAAACACATGTAGCTGCCTTATTCTGAATCAGACCATCGGTCCATCAAGGTCAGTCTTGTCTACTCAGACTGGCCGTGGCTCTCTCCACAATCTCAGGCAGAGGTCTTTCACGTCACCGACTGCCAGATCCTTTACACTGGAGGTGCCGGGGATTGAACCTGGGACCTTCTGCATGCCAAGCAGGGGCTCTTCCACTGAGCCAAGGTCCCTCCCATGGCCCCTGTTTTGATGACGAGGCACTGCTACCCCCTTGAAACTGCCTTTAACTAAGAGCACACTGAATTCCATCTGTCTACATCATGCAGAAGTACCTGAGTCGTTTTGGGGTACGCTATGAGCCCCCCCACACATTTATAGACTCCCAAGCGCTCCGTTAATCAGATTTTCCTAAAGAGCAGGTGTCTATGAATACAGCGTTCCATGTGCCTTGGTGTTTAGTCATGCCGGCCACATGACCACGGAAATGTCTTCGGACAGCGCTGGCTCTTCGGCTTTGAAACGGAGATGAGCACCGCAACCCTGGAGTCGGATTCGACTGGCTTTCGATCAAGGGAACCTTTACCTATGAATACACCACTATTTTGACTACCCTGCAGATGAAGAGGGGCAAGCACTATATACAGGGGTCTTGTTGTAGAAAAAGAGCTGCCGGAGCTCATTAGCATAACTCATTAGCATAACTTATTTGCATATGCCACGCCCCCTGACATCACCGGAAGTGACAGAAGGCCACACCCCCTGACATCACCGGAAGTGTGTCAGAAGGCCCGGCTACTTACCCTCCTGCTTCATCCTCATTCCCAAACGGAATGAGGATCGAAGCAGAGGGCGGGGTAAAGAAGGGGGGGGGGGTTCACCACGTGGCCGCACCGCCCCCTAGAGGTTCTCTTCCGGAGCTCCGTACCTGAGAGCTCTCCCCCGACTAGAGCCCTGACTATATATATATATATACACACACACACACACACACACATGCACGCACTTGGGGGGGGGGCAGCTAGTAGATAGGTTCACCGAAGGGCAGCAAAACCCAAAAGTGTCATTTTGGGTATTGGTCCAGCTTCTGTTGAGTCAACAAGTCTTCCGAGAAAGATTTTTCAGATAACAGGGAAGCCCGTCTTTATTCAAGAGATGCCTTTTCCGCCACTCCACAAGAGGACTGCCTGAAGTGGTCTACGTGAATGGATCATTCATATCAATGCAACATATTCAATAAAAAGAATCACAGTATAAAATACTACAGCATAAACGGGGGGGGGGGGGGGGCAGGGAGGTCAAGACATCTGTCTGTATAAAACCATGAATCATCACAAAATCAACTGGGCGGCAGCAGCAGCAGCCTTGGAAAAACCACCTTTCCAAAAAAATATAATCAAAATCAGAAATGAAAAGCCGTTCAGTCCTCAAGAGCTAAAGGTAACTACTTATTTTTAAAGAATAAACGAACTAATCAGCATAGGGTTGCCAGCCTCCTTGTGCGGCTGAGGCCAGAGATCTCCTGGAATTACAAGTGATTGCCAAGCTACAGAGATCTGTTCCCCTGGAGAAAATGGATGCTTTGGAAGGTGGGAGGTAGCATTATGCCCCACTCCCCGCCCTCCCCAGGTTCCACCCCCAAAATCTCCAGGGATTTCCCAACCCAGAGCTGGCAACCTTAAACCACCCCCAAACATAGGATTGCCAGGTCTGGGTTGGAAAACACCTGGAGATTTTGGGGGTGGATCCGGGAGAGGGCGGGGTTTGGGGAGGGGAGGGGCCTCTGCATGGTACAAGGCCATCGAGTCCACCCTTCAAAGCAGCCATTTTCTCCAGGGGAGCTGATCTCTGTCAGCTGGAGATCAGTTGTAAAAGCAGGAGATCTCCAGGCCCCACCTGGAGGCTGGCAACTCTACCCAAACCCCTGGGTGAATCCAAAAGCATTAGGCTGGTACCATTCTCAGGTCTGGCTTTTATATTCTGCCGTGGACCCTTTCTCTGGCACCAAATGGTTAAAAAACCTACCTACGTTGTGTGGAGGGGGAGGGAAAGGAGTTTGTAAGCCGCTCTGAGACTCCTTTGGGTAGTGAAGGGCGGGGTATAAATCCAATCTCCTCCTCTTCCTCCTCCTCCTCTTCTTCTAAAACATCCGATACATCCATTTAACCCGCATTCCATCTTACCAACCAAGTTCAAAGTGGTTCTAAATTCTTTAAAAGCGCAGCCAAAAGCAGCGGCGGAGACAACGTCCAACTTCAGGCAAGAGGTCGCACCAAAGCGGATATTGAACAAAGCTGGCGCAACTGTGGGCACCCTGCGGTTCCATGCGGGAGCGAAAGCAGATGTCTGCTTCGTTGCGGGCAACCCTGCCAACCTCCAAGGAGCAGCCATTCCACTGACAAAAAAGATGAAGGCAAGCAGTTCCCCACGGCCCCTCCGGGACGGAGCCTACACCAGAGCAGAAGTTCTGCAGAACTCCAACCCCCACAGCCAATCTGCTCACACAGATGGAGGTTTCCGCTCAGTACAA